CTCACTCTGTCGCCCAGGTTGGAGTGCAGTGGCATGTTCATGGCCACTGCAGCCTCAACCTGCTGGGCTCAGGTGATCCTTCCACCTCAGTCCTCCATGGAGCTGGAACTACAGGCATGCACCACCACATCTGGCTAATTTGTTTTTTATTTATTGTAGAGATGAGGTCTTGCAAAATTGTCCACTGGTCTTGAACTCCTGTACTCAGGCAATCCTCTCACCTCCACCTCCCAAAGTGCTGGGATTTCAGGCATGAACCACCGCATCCAGTGTAAACTTTTCAAATAATTGGTAACACTAGTAAATTACAGGATAGGAAATATACTCACCTGTACAAGACAGCTCGATCTACACCAAAAGCTCCTACAATTAAGTCTGAAGACAGAGGGGAAAAACTAGTTAATAGCAATAATAATTGATAAAATGTATAGCAATCTATAAAATTTCCAATACACATAAAAAGATTTAAGTATATTCTCAAAACTATTCATTGAGAGCTTATAAAGTATCATCGACAAGGCTAAAATTTATGAAAACTGCAAATAAGCTGTCATCAGTGGCAAATGCTCATCATAAACCAGGTTTTCATGCAGGGAGATATAAATCTTTTTCATGAATATTTAGAAAAAAATACAACAATAATAAGCAAGTAGATCTTCTAAACATACATACTCCCAGAGGAAAAAGCTTTACAAATGCCTGTGGATTTTACAATCCACCCCCCATTTCTCTTGTCTCAAAACAAGGCAAAACAAAACAAAAAGCACATTACATACTGGTTAGAAAAACAGACATTAAGTCAGCAAGAACAGAATGTACTAGTTTATATGCCACTGGCTCAACTGGTTTACAATTCAAAACAATAAAATCAGAGCCCTATCTCACAGCTAAGTTTGAGGAAGTCCTTTCTAAGCAGAAAAGCACATGAGAAAACATACAAACAGGTAGATTGGATTAGTTATAAATTTTTAAGCTTCTTTATGCCCAAAATGCAAATGTCACAAACTGGAAAATATATACAAGAGTTAAGGAGTTAATATTTTCAATTTGAAGGCGCTGTACACGTAAATAAATAAATAAATGAAAATTTTTAAAATGCCCCAATAGAAAAGAATAAAAAAAGACATAAAAGGAAATTCATAAAAGTAAACACATGTATATAAATAAAAATACTTACCTTTACTAATAATCAAAAACTATTAATTAAGAGAAATGACATTGCCCACCTGTTATAGTTAAAAGTTATTTTAAAACAGGCACAAGTGTGGGAAAATGATCACTCATTTGCGGCTAGTGGGTGCTCAAAAAAGGAAACAAAAACTTTCTCATGGAGGGAATGAAATTGCAATTTGACAATTTTTATCAACAGCCTTAAAAAAAAGTGCATATCCTTGACATTTTAATTCTAGAATTTTGTCCTAAGGACACAATGAGAGGTGTGCACCAGCATGATACACAAAGATATAAACACCCCAAAATAAGGTAAAATATGATACAGCTATTTGCTAAAATGGAAAACACAATATTCACGTTTTAGAAGAATAATAAAACAGCTAAATGCTCCTGATACTTTAAGTCCATAAAATATACCATGAACTGTACTTAAAGCATGATTCCATTTTTTAAAAATGTATGTGAATGCATAGAAAAAAATGAAAAGAAATGCTTTGTTGTATTTGCTAAAAGTTCTATAATAAATATATTGTACTTATAACAAAAAACTCTGAAATCATGTTAACTTATAGATAGCAATCAACTTCATGTCTTACTTCTGAAGCATTTCAACATGCCTGTATACTAACCTCATGCTAACTGTTTCAACAACAAAGATTATCCAAATTTTCTGCATTATTTTTCATTTAAAAAAAAGATCCATTTTTATCCTGGATCCATTTTAATACTCCAAAGTGTGTAAGAATCAGAAGAAGATCTTGCTTGCTATCCTGGATCAACCCAGGGGACAACCTTGGGCAAAAGAACTTCTTCAGTCTCTTTTCACATCCAAAAAATTATATAATAATGAGCTAACCTAGCTTACATTCCCCATAAGCCTTATTGTGAGAATAAAATAAAATAATGCATATTTTTTAAAATCACAATTAGTCAAGTCCATAAAAATGTAGGTCACTAAAAACAAACAAAAAAGATGGCTAACATTTTCAAAAAACTTGGAATGAGCATTAAGCTTTTATGTATAGCTTCAACAAATATTTTCCCCTGACATTTTAGACTTTCGGACAATAAAACAAATTCAGGCCAGGTGTGGTGGCTCACTCCTGTAATCCCAGCATTTTGCTAGGCTAACGCAGGAGGACTGCTTGAGGTCAGGAATTTGAGACCACCCTGGGCAACATAGCAAGACCTTATCTCTACAAAAATTAAATTAAAAAGTAGTCGGATGTGGTGGCGTGTGCCTGTAGTCCCAGCTACTTGGAAGCTGAAGCAGGAGGATTACTTGAGACCAGGAATTAGAGGCTATAACGAGCTGTGATTGTGCCACTGTACTCCAGCCTGGTCCACAGAGTGAGATCCTGTCTCAAAAAAAAAAAGAAACACCCAAAAAAAAACTCCCCCATAAAATAAAAGAAAATAAAACAAAACACTTCTGGGTATGTGTTTCATACTGTATACTCTCAGAAAATAGAGTTGTCTTGTCTTTATATCCCCTTCAGTGATGAGAACAATGCCCCGAATACAGTAAATGCTTGATCGGTGCTTGAAATACCGAATTGAAATAATGTATAATTTAAATCAAAAGAGCAGTAACTAATATTGTTTGCTCTCAGTACTGAAAGATCTAAGAGCTCCACGTATTGAGAGGAAAGCACCTGGATATCCATTTTTGTCTATGTCTGTGGCTCCTTTCATGGAATAGCCAAAACTTGGTGGCATGCTTCGAGCAGCCCACTGTCCTTCAAGGACCTGCGAGGGCGCCACATTCAAGCCTGATGATCTTCCATTGAAGATATACACGATTCCTTTCTTATCTTCACCCCCATATGGGGCAGCAATGGCAATATCTGTGGGGTAGAGGGAGGGAGGGAAGGAAAGGGGAATGAGGGAAGTAAGAAGGAGAAGGGGAAGAAGGGGGAAGGAAGAAGAGGGAAGAGATAAAGAGAAGAAAGTCATAGCACTTGCAATCACCTATATGTGGAGGTCTTTAATATCTACAGAACCTATTTATCGTGATAAATATTAATTCAAAGTTCAGTGGGGTATAAGCAACAATTTAACTAAAGGAAGTTGGAGCAAAACTGTGTAGAAGTGACAGTAACTTAGAGCTAGATATTCCGGCTCTAAATCTTGGACAAATAATTTATGCTTTCTGGACCTCAAATGCTTCAACTTTAATATTGGGGAGTTGTGAATGGGCGGAGGGAAAATCAAAAGATTCATCTATAGTTCATTTTAGCTCTTAAAATTCTAGTCAATTACTTATGCATGGTTTTTGTTTTTTTTCCTGAACAGAGGTCAACCCAGCTCAGAAATTTCAAAGTTATGACCTTCATCCTGCTCTTGCTCAATTTATACTGAAATAACATACATGAATAATGTTTTAAATTCTTGCCAAAAAAATCCTCAAACCCCAAATGACCTTTTCTCACTCTAAAACACATTACCAATATGTCTATTTCTCTCACCCCATTGCTACTACCCTAGACAAGCCAGTGCCATCCTCTGCCCAAACTTCGGAAGCAGTTTCTTGGGTGGCCTCCCACTTCCACTTCTGCCCCTCTAAATTTTTCTCTTCAAAACAGCCAAACCTTCACCATGTCATGTCATACCCACCACCTGCTTAAAATCCTTCAGTCATTTCCCAAAGCATTCAGAATAAGCTCTAAAACCCTACCTGGTCTGTCCACTGCCTACCTTACAAATCTCATTCCTCTCTCAATTGCACCCTGACCTTCTTACCCTCATTCATTCTTCCCAGCAATCTTGGCCTTTTTTTTCTGTTTCTTAAACACCAAGCTAGCTCCTAACGCTGGGCTCATACTTGCTGCCCTAAGTTCTCTCTGCCCTAAGAGGTTTTGCTCCAGGGCTTTTCAGCTTTGCTCCTTCCATCTGTCCAAATCAATATGTCATCCTGTCAGAGAATGCTTCTCGGCCACCCAGACAGTACTGCGCTCATCCTTAGTTCCTACTCTGTCTGTCACAATCTGTGTCTAGGTACTTTCTATCGTATTACCTTGACTTTTTTTTTAACTCACATTATTATCACTCTCTGGATGTCCCCACTGTTTACTATGGCTCTCCAGACGAACCTAAGCTTCATGAGAGCAAGGGCATGTCTGTGTTGCCTATAACCGCCTCTAGGTACTAGCCATACCAAATAGTTAAATTTCCTTAATGTACTCACACTGTCTTATGCCCCCTCAACAACACCTTCCTTGAGACACCAAAGATACCTTGATCATTCATCCTTATATGAGACCATTTTGCCATTAAATGAATGTAATGCATGAAAAATAGCACCATTAAATGAATTTATGAAAAATAGCACCAAAGTGTTTGGCTTAAGGCGAGTGGAAGCTAGTACTGGAGACATGATAGGAACTCAATTGGTGATTAATTCAGTGCTTCTGTATTTGAACATTTAAATATTCACATCTACATGCCCAGAAGGCACTGAAATGGGATTTGTAGGAAATACTTAAGATTTATTTTCCTATTTATTTATCTTTCTCTAAATGGATAAAAACAGCCTTTCAAATTCGTCTGCCCATTCCGTTGGGTTGGCAGGTCCTAAGTTGGAAGAAAACACTGTGATGACTACAAACACTGTGATGCTCAAACACTGTGATGACCACATTGCAGCGCTGACTTGTTTGTATACAGGGAGTGCCAAAAAATGTATATATACTTTAAGTATGACATTCGCTCAAAAGATGGTATTAATCAAATGAATGCTAGCATCAGCATGCGACAGGCAGGAGAGTCAAAGAAAATGGCAGAAGCATGATGGAGCAAATGTCATATTACACACTGCTACCAAAATTTAATTCAACTTCTAAAAGTAATACGTAGATAACATCTTTTAAAATGTGTATATTTTTTGGTAACCCCTGTATATATTGCTCCATTGGCTTCTGAGTTCTTTCAGGACATGAGTGGGATCTAATCTCACCTCTTATTTTCAGCACCTAGAATAGCGCTCAGCCTGCTGTAAATGCAACTAAGAATTTTTTATTCTTAAAAATAAGTATGTAAATTATGTAAAAGGGTCCCTCTTTTGTCCTTTTTTAAGTTTTAAAAGATAAGCATAACTTCTAAATTGGCATACCTTTACATATATAACTTACATAATTAAATATATCATAGATATGATAAATATATATAACTTACATAAATACAGCTCAAATAATTTTCCACTATTATCATCCACATTCCACTATTTGAGACAATAATACCCAAGGACAAATCTTGGGAGACCATAATCATCTTCTATGGTGTCTCTATATAAAAGTAAAACCTCTTGATGAAATCTTTGTTAAGCTTTAATTTTTTAAAGTGGTTGTTGTATATATTTGTTGGGTTGACTGATAACACGTTTTAACGAAAATACATTAAGTCCCCTACACATGAACCTCCAAGTTGCAAACTTTCAAAGATGCGAACTTAGATTTGCATGTCCAATAACATAAATTAGTTCACATATCTGGCATACATTGGCACATGCATGCTTTTGTGTACTTTACTGTACAATATTGTATAGAGTGCAGCAGTACAGTATCTTTCTTTCAAGCCCCGAATGTCTGGAAGCAAATGTAAAAGCAGTGGTGCTGTAGCTGGTACTGCAAAGAAGCACCAAGCAAGAACAATGGAAACAAAAATGAAAATAATTGAGCAAGTGGAGCGAGATGAGAGGATGGTAGATGCCACTCTACCATCTTCTGTTCAACATGAATCTTTCAATATGAATCATTCGACCATCAGTCGGATTCTAAAAAACAAGGACAAGATCATAAAACATGTGACACCTGCTGTGCTGATGATGTCAACAACAATATCGAAGACGCATGGATAAGTGATGGAGGAGATGGAGAAACTTCTCAGGGTATGAATGCAGGATCAGAATCAGTGTCAAATCCACTCGGCTTAATATAGATTCCAGAAAAAGCAAAAAGCCTTTGTGAAAACTTGAAGAAGAAACATGGAAAAGCATCAGAGGGCACATATTTCTGTGTGTGTGTGTGGTCCCTCCACCCCCCAGGTGCATCTTTTAATGCCAGTCATGGCTGGCTTCATCGGTTCAAGGGTAGAGCCAACCTTTACAATGTAAAACTAAGTAGCGAGGTGGCAAGTGTGGATACAACAGATGCCCAGGAATTTCCTAAAATGCTTTGAGAAATCATTGATGAAGGTGATTATTTACCCAAGCAGGTTTTTAATGTGAATGAAACAGGACTGTACTGGAAGAGGACACTAGACAGAAGAGCTAGAAACTGTACTATCAGTGTCAGGCATGAGTGAACTTGCAGTTTGCCCTTCGTCTCCTATTGCTGTTGTTCCTCAGTTCTACTTTCTCCTACCTCCTCTCCCTCCTGTAGTCAGTAACTCCTCTTGCCTGTTTACTCGATGCCAGCCCCTTTATGCCAGCTGTTGTACCGTACCATATTACCGTATTACTCTACTTTTCAAGGTACTGTACTGTAAGATTAAAAATGTTTTCTTTTTTGTTTTTTTATGTATTACTTGTTTGGAAAGTACTATAAACCTATTACAGTATATTACTATACAGCCAATTGTGTTAGTTGGGTACCTAAACTAACTTTGTTGGACTTATGAACAAATTGGACTTACCAATGCACTCGTGGAATGGAACTTGTTCATATGTAGGAGACTTACTGTACAGAAAGTAGGACAAGATGTTGGCTAACTCATGACATGAGAAAACCTTCTTTAAAGTAGCTGGACTATCCTCAGATAAGGTGACAGCAAACACATGCTGGCATTCCCCAGAATACCTGGGAAACAGAGACTCTACTGGATAGCAAAGAAGTCATCAACTTTATTCCAGGTGGAACCGCACACTTGGCCCTGTATTTTCTAGGCAGTAGTTGTTACCAATGAGTAAAAATTTGGTCTATACTATTCTTTTCATGTTTTATTATGAATTTTGCACCATAGCTCAATTGGATTTATGCTAAGTTCTCTACTTTAGGAAGCAAAATGTATCTGTAAAAGGTTGTTCCCTAACACTGAAACTTCCAGGACTAATCTTGGAGATGACATTTCTAGTGCATGACAAAGATCTGCCTACAAGGCAAATAACGTGTCCCTTTTCACTACTATTTGAGACATATAAGTTTTTATTTTCTTCTTAATACATAACTTTTCTTTAACTTTAAGAGGACATATGCCTTTTATATTGGCGATTACACAAACAAACCAACTGTTCAACTCTCCATCGTGAACTCTACAGAACTCTTAGAGTTCACGATGGAGAGTTGAACAGTTGGTTTGCTTGTATACTGATTATGTATTGATTCTAGACAGAATTGAATACTTGACAAAATAATTGAGTGTTTTTTTAAAAAAACTTTGTAATTTTTAATTTATATTTCGTGTTTCTGAAGCGAGTTCTACAATACAAGCCAATTTCGCTTTTTAAAGGTATCAACAGCCATTGAAATGGGACTATTATACAACAATGGGTATATCTTTTATGCATTCTCATGAAGGAAGGAGATATAACCTCCCTGAGAACATGGCAGACAGTCATACAAAGTGATGGCTTTAAAAACATTAATGGCCAGTCATACCTTCAAGGTACGCATGAGTATGTAAGAGGTGTGCATTAGTCAGCACTGCCTTGACAATGTGTCTGGGAGCAGTTCTATATTTGCAGCTGAATGGACAGCAGGGGGCACTGCTGCTAAGCAGGTCCCAGAGACTCACGACATCCCCAGCTAGCAATGGGCTCCATGGAAACGAAGGTTCCCTTCAAAAATGAACAGTTCTGACACTCTCCTTTGAGGCTGCATGAATAATAACTCGCAAAAGTCCATTTCTGAAAACTCTGCTCTGATGTTTAATAAGAAAAAGCAAGCTGTCTTTAAACTTGATGTGTCACTCTCTGACACTCAATCCACCTTTCCGGGCAGGTTTGCTTCTGTGATCTTTGACAGGTGGGGTTGCAGGACTTCTCCAGGGGGTTACAGACCAACTGTGATCTTACCATTGAAGCCGTCCTGGTCCAGATCTCCTAGAGGAGCTATGGCACTGCCAAAACGTGCAAAGACCTCAAACCCGTTCAGCTTTGTTGTTTGGAAGTCCCCTGAAGCTCTCTGCAGAGACACCGAGACCTGCCCCACCTCTTGGAGTTTGCCATCGGAGCCACGATCCATGAAGAGAGGTGCTCCAATAAACACATCTGCATAACTGGAAGAACAACATCTTTTCACCAAAGCAAGATCAAATGCCATCTATCGGTAGACACCTTCTTTCTTATTAAAACTCAGTTTCCCTCTTTCTCTCTCTCTCTTATAGCCACACAGAAGCACAAAATGGTAACAATAGCAGTCATTTCACATTCAAACCTTCCTATAACTCTCCTATGTAACTATGAGTAATTCATCAAATTACTTTATCTTCTCATGTTATAAAAATTATTGAGGCTGAGTGAGGTGACTCACACCTGTAATCCCAACACTTTGGAAAGCCAAGATGAGAGGATCACTTGAGCCCAGGAGCTTGAGACCCAGTCTGGACACATAGTCAGACCTCATCTCTACAAAAAAAATTATTTGGGCATGGTGGTGCATGCCTGTAGTACCAGCTACTTGGGAGGCTGAGGTGGAAGGATTGCCTGAGCCCAGAAAGTCAAGGCTGAGGTGAACTGTGATGGTGTAACTGCATCTCAGTCCAGGTGACAGAGTGAGACCTTGATTCAAATTTAGGGAAAAAAAAAAAAGGCCAGGCTCAGCCTGTAATCCCAGCACTCTGGGAGACCAATGTGAGTGACTGCCTGTGCCCACAAGTTCAAGACCAGCCCCGGCAACTTGATGAGACCTTGTCTCTACGATAGATACAAAAAAAATTGGCCAGGCTTGGTAGCGTGTGCCTGTAATTCCAACTACTTGGAAGGTTGAGGCAGAAGGATCACCAGAGCCAGCAGGTCGACACCGGAGTGGACATGAGTGGACACTGCACTACAGCCTGGGCGACAGAGTGAGACTCCAACTCAAAAATGAATAAATAAATAAATTTAAGTTAAAAAAAAAAAACTATTGAAAAAAATATGAGAAACACAGGTTCATAATTAAGGTTGCTTCAAACTGCCTCCTTAAACAGAAAGATTGGCAGGAAGGAGACAGGGAAACAGAAGAAAAATGTTTAGTTTTAGGAAAGTGTTAATAAACATGAAAGGAAAACTGGTCTGGAAACATTTTTTTTAAACTTACTCATCTCCATTAATGTCAGTGGCAGCTACAGAAAATCCGAAATATGCAGCCATCTGGATAACAAGAGGAAAATGAAATGTTTGTATTTAATCCAACTAGTTTAGACAATTAACATTTGTGGTATATGTACCAAACAGAAAGTTACTTTTTCCTGGCATGTGGTGCTTCAACCTAAATGTCTTCTCTTTTGTTTATTCTACCAACACAGTGACAATCAGGTAATGAAGTTTGTTTATTTTCCTAAATTATGGACAAAAATATCCCACGCATATCATTTCAGTATGTTCAACATGTGACACTTAAGTCCAAGTACGATCACTTCTCCTTCCCAGCCTGCCCCATTATCCCCCTTTCTCTACCATCCTCGAAACACCAGACGCAGGCACGCTAACAGAAAGACAGATGTTTCAACAGAATTCAACAAGTTAGATATGGATGTCTATGCAGTGAGGATAATAGATAATAATTATTAATAATAGATAACAATAACATTGGCTGTATGTGAAACTATGACTACTCTTAAGAAATCACTCTTTGGAAAGATATAAAAAGGAGTTCATTTGTGTCTCACACCTCAATTGATTTCTTGCCAGACAATTTCCCTTTGGACTTACACATAATTTGGATTCATTATGAACTTATCATGCATAGGGAGAAGGAACGCCCTCTCCTGACCAGAGGAGACCATTGGCCATCACAGATAGAGCAGCCCTGATGGAAATAAACGTGAAAAGGGAAAATTCTAAAAAGAGCCCAACATGCAAAACAAAACTTAAAGAATTGACAAGTTAAATATAAATGAAGGTGAAGAATGAGTCAACAAGCCAATAAAGGAAAGTTAGCAGTGTTCCCAACATTTGATGAGGTCAGATATTAAGAGGGAATGATAGGGGAAATTCCTACATTATCTATTTTGAATTGATATAGTATAATTGAGAAAATAAGGCCAGGCTCAGTGGCTCATGCTTGAAATTCCAGCACTTTGGGAGGTCAAGGCGAGAGGATGGCTTAGGCCCAGGAGTTCAGGACCAGCCTAGAAAACACAGCAAGATCTCATTTCTACAACAACAACAAAAAATTAAAATTAAAATACTAGCCAGGCATGGTGGTGGTGCCTGCGGTAATCCCACCTACTCGGTGGAAGGCTAATGTGGGAGCACTGCTTGAGCCCAGGAGTTTGAAGCTTCAGTGATCTGTGATCATGCCACTGTACTTCAGCCTGGGCAACAGAGTGAGACCCTAACTCAAAAAGAAAAGAAAAAAGGTTTGTCCCGTATTCAATGACAGGATTGGAGCTGTGTAACAAAGTGTACTGTGTCTGGTGTACCATGTTGACTCACTGCCTAGGATGTAACAATAATATTTGTGGGCCTTAGTCTCCCACAAACGTGTAACAAAAGGATGGCGTCTACTGAGACAAGTTTTTTCCTGGGCATGATAACTGAAATACCTTTATCTGATTGTTACAACTACCCCAAAATAAGTTGTTAGCATCCCTAGTTTTATAAACAAGGAATCAGATTTACAGTGGTAAATACCTTGTCCAATGCAATAACAGGCCAAGCTCGGAGAGCCCAGGTCTGTCCTTATCCAAAACCCATGGTTCCAGCCCCTTTCTCAAAGCTGAGGAGGATTAAAGCAAGCATGGCTGACTACATGCAGCAGGACCAGAGACATACAGGGACTTCGGACAGGAGGAGCTGCTGGAGCTGAAGCACAAAGGGTGCACCACCCTGCAGCAACCTTACCCGCCTGGCAACTCCAGGTCACTCTGCCTTGTGCATCAAACCCCCTGTCACACAAATGAGAGGTTTCTGGGGACAGCGAGTCTAGTCACTCATTTGCCCATCCTCTCTCAAAGCCCAGAAATCTCAACCAAACAAAAAGTGGGCTTGAACCTCAGGTCTGCAAGCTATCAGAAGGCATTTTTTCTCCACCTACTGTTTAACTTTTTCTTTATCGTTACCAACTGATTATTCAATTCTCCGAAACACACAATATGGAATATTATAAAATGCCTATATTTGTAGAGAATATCTAGTACTTTAAAGAACTAACTTTTAACCTAAGAATGCTCAATTTTATGTCTCACCAATGAAGTTTGCTTGTAATATCTGTAACACACACACCTGTGCCATGCTTTATTTTGTAACTAATAAAATTAAAAGGTATAGATCATTCCTTAAAAGAGAATTTAATGTCATCAGAAAAAAAGAAAATTTTTATGGTTTTGCATGTGTGGGATTTGATTTTGTATTTCCAATTAAACAACAAAGCAAACAAAAACAAGCTATAATATACAATTACAAAAGCCTGTGCTTATATAAATTAGTTTTTTAAAAAGGCAAAAACGTTTAAAGTCTATTTTATATTTAGAATAATGAATAATATGGAATCATTAAACCATTTTGATACTGCCAAGAAAAGTGTTAAGACATTAGGAAAATGCTAATAAAATATTCAGTGAAGAAAGCAAGACATAAAAGGCAGAGTCAACTAGTTTTTGTTTATACACTCAAGTCCACAGATACAAAAGAGAAAGAAACGCACCAAAATAATAATAGTTTGATGAATTATCTGAGTATAACATAATTGACTATTACACTTTCTTTTATTTCCTGAAATTTTCTCCAATGATTATAAACTGCTTTAAAAGCCTACCTGCTCACCAGTAAAATTGTATAAGGAGGACATGTTCTTCCCATCATAAATATAAACCTGTGCAGAAAAACAAAAGTATAAGAGATACAGTAAAAATAGAGGATAACTCAGAGATTTTTAAAAACATCTTTTAATTTTCTTACCATTCCCAAAGTCCTTGCTGCTCTTGGAACTCCTGAAACAAAGTCTGGAAAAAAAAATAGCTAAATTCTTAATTATTCATTTTTAAGACCAAGACTGAAAAATGCAGAAGGAAGTGGCTATGTCAGAAAGCTTTAAGTTTTGCTTTGTTACTAAAGTAGAAAACAAAAAATAGATGTATAAAAATTGGCACTCCCTAATAAATAACCCCAGCATTTTTTAAACTACAAAATCAAAATTTACAAAATATAGGAAGATTCTTGAGGACTTTCAAATACATCAAATAAACTCTCAAGTTATTTGTACTCTTGTGAAACAAGAATAGATAAGATAAAATGACTTAAAAATGAAGCAACACTACATTTACAGTAATGAAAAATAACAGCACAAACTGAAATAGGGCCAAGGCAGCTGGGGGACAGAAACAGGATCAAAATCGAGTAAAGTCTTTGACTCCTCAAGTGAGCTCTGAAGGAGGACAGATGGACAAGGGGAGGATGGGATAAAAACCTTCTAGACAGAGCCCTCAAGGTAACAAATTAGGCCTAAAGAGAGAAGACACTAAGTAGTCCAAGAGGACTGAATTGCTGAGGGCAGGAGGAAGTTGCTAAAGAAATCACTCTCAGGGGTAGGGGTAGGAAAGGTGGAGCAGGGAGAGACCAAGGCCGACTCCAACCACCGCTGACCACAGTGTCTCAACTTCAACAGCCACTAGAGGAAGGTAAGCGCAGACCAAAACTGGACTCCCTCAACATGTTGACATTGCCCTCATTTCTTCTGTTGTTTTCCACAGCAATGCTTTCAAATTGCTGAAACATTTCAATGCCATGTTTCAAATGCTTAATCTGATTTTTTTAAAGGGGTGATATATAGCTCAAGTGCATCATACCGTCTACGCCATCACCATTGAAATCTCCAACAGCCACTGAGTAACCTAAACAAGGAACCAAAGGAGAGACACCATCAGGGCACAGGATCTCACCTGCAGCATACCTGTTGGGTAAGCTTTCCTTGAAGATATTTTCAAGGAGCTCCTTTAATTATACAATATTTTGTCTTCTAGGGGTAACAGATTCATACGTGTATGAAAAATAAATTTTAAAACAATCAAGTTAAATACTCCAATAGGATAACTCTATTTGAAAAATAAAGATTAACTTTACAGAGAGGTCTGTTAGAAACAGGGCAAAAATGCCAGGAATGGTAGCTCAAGCCTATAATCCCAGTACTTTGGGAGGCCGAGGTGAGAGGATTGCCTGAGCTCAGGAGTTCAAGACCAGCCTGTGCTACTTGGTAAGACTTAGTCTCTAAAATAAATTAAAAAATAAGCTGGACGTGGTAGCATGTGCCTGTAGTTCCAGCTACTTGGAAGGCTGAGGCGAAGGACCGCCTGAGCCCGGCAGGTGGAGGCTGCAATGGCCGTGAGCATTTCAGCCTGGGCAACAGAGTGAGACTATGACTCAAAAAAAAAAAAAAAAAAAACGGCAAATTTACAAGTCATCAAAAAGGAGCAACATCAAGTACTCTTTCTGTCATGTATGATTTGTTTTGATAGGAGGAAAATTTAAAGAAAGAGAATGTTAAATCCTAAAGAACATAACTGTAGCCGGGCTTGGTGGCTCAGCCTGTAGTCCCAGCACTTTGGGAGGCTGAGGTGAGTGGATTGCCTGAGCCCGCGGGTTCGAGATCTGCCTGGGCAACTTGGCAAGACCTCATCTCTACAATAAATTAAAAATTAGCCGGACGTGGTAGCGCACACCTATAGTTCCAGCTACTTGGAAGGCTGAGGCGGAAAGATCGCCAGAGCCCAGCAGGTTGAGGTTGCGGTGGCTGGGAGCAGCCACTGCAACCCAGTCTGGGCGACAAAGTGAGACTCCAACTCAAAAAACAAACAAAAAGAAACATAACTGTAGCTTAACATAATAAATGTCAAGAGTCAAAACTGCCTGGGTTTGAATCTCAGAGCAGTAAGTTACAATTGAGTGACTTTGAAAGCAAGTTATTCTGTCTCTCTGTACCTCAGTGTTCTCATCTACAAAATGGCAATAAGAGAATACTTTTATAGACCTGTGAGGATTAAATGAGCAAATACAGATAATGCCCAGAACATAGACAGCATAGCTTGAACGTTAGTTATTATTATTATCACTGAAAAAAATCACTGTTCCATTTCAATTGCTGAAATGTAATATAACCTAAGCACTCAACAACAATTTGAAATTGTGCATTCCTTATGTTTTTAAAAAAAGCTTAGGCCAGGTGACTCGTGCCTGTAACTCCAATACTTTAGGAGGCTGAAGCAGGAGGATCACTTGAGGCCAGAAGTTAAAGACCAGCCGAGGCAGCATAGCAAGACTTTATCTTTACAAAAAATCAGAAACATCAGTCAGGCGTAGCAGCTTGTGCCTGTAGTCCCAGCTACTCGGGAGACTAAGGCAGAAGGATTGCCTGAGACCAGGAGGTCAAGTCAGCAGTGAGCCATGATTGTGCCACTGCACTTCAGCCTGGGTAACAAAGTGAGACCCCCAAACTCAAAAAAAAATTTATATATTTATATTTATTTATACACACACACATACACACACACACACAGAGGGTGCCAAAAAAAGTATACATATTTTAAGAAAGAAAAATACTATATTAAAGTTGTAATATCAATAAGATGAATATAAGTCATGCTTTACCTCTACAATTACAAGAGGTGCTCAAAGTGGTTACCATCTGTTTCCAGACAACAAACATCTCTTAAAACGTGCACACATTTTTTGGCACCCCCAGTATATATACATAGATTAATCTATTTCACATAAATTATTTTTCTACTTAAAATAACATGTGCAAATACAGGACAAACAACACAACTCCATAAAATGAGTCTATATTTTGATTTTACCTACCCAAGTAGCTGTCATCAAAAATAGCTTGTGCAGTCCGGGTTGCTAATTGGTTATTATACTCGATGCTGTAAACATTGGGCTCATATTTAGATATGATTTCTGCCACTTGATCCGAAATAAGTTGACCTAAAAATATACATATATCTATAAGATGAATAATCTTCCAATGGGAACTTTGTGCTACAAACAACAGATGGTGCCTGCATGAAAGAAAATAGTATTAGATCTTAGTATTTCCAATTATTATTCTTAAATAATTCTCCTTGATAATGCTAAATCTGAAATTTAATATTTTTAACTTATAGTTTTTCAATCTAAGCCAGTACTTAAAATTAGTCTCTGCTAATAAAAATTTAAGAATACACAATCTGTCTTAACTCACTAAAAATCAATGTTAAATCAGTAGAATAACAAAATCAAAGGCTATGTCCCAGTCAAATCCATTGAAACTTGAAAATTTTACTGAAACAATTAAATACTGTTACCTTATAATCAGAATAATTGGTTTAATTGGTTTTTTAAAACTAGTTATTTGGACACCTTTATGAAAAATGAGTGGCTAAATTCACAATCTTAAGTTATTAGGGAGACAAAAAATCTAAATGACTACACAAAAAATCAGACTGCCCTCCCCCATCAAGAAAGGATAGCTGATTTATCAAATGGAACAAAATCTCCTCTCATTTCTGCTGTTTTAGAAAGAAATTTGTAAAAGCTAAAGTTTTCAGTCCTGTTCCAATCTGTCCAGTCACATAGGTGGAATCTATAGGGCAGAAAGACTTTGTGTCTGGGTCACTATTTTATCTTCTGTGCCTAAACAATGCCGAAAACATAAGAGAAATTCAGTAAATATTTCTTAAACCAAAGAACACAGGAAAATTCATCATCTCTTTGAATAAAACAATATAATTTTCTCCAATCTTACAGAGACAATTCTGAGCTCTCTAGAAAAATTCATTCTGATGTACTTACTTTCCAGGGTGAAACCTGCTGATGTTAATCATTAATAAATGACGTTTATCTTATAAAAACAAAATATTCTCTGCCAATTCACTGTAATTTAATTCTGTAATTTAATTACAGAATGTAGACCACTTACAATAAAACTCCAATAAATACCAATAGTCCATATCTGTTCTAACTTATAATAAATAGGAATGCACACAAACACTGTATAATGCCCCAAGTATTAAAAGAACACATCACTTAAATATGTTCACAGCTGTGTTTCATAAAAATATGGAGTGAACCAGCATTCCTCACTGAAAATCACAAACTCGAGCTTCCTTGATAGTTCTGGTTCTCAGGCATGTCTATCAGATACTTCCTTTCCCTCTACTCAATGACATAATTGGCAATAAAGAAGAAAAATAAGTCCATGTTTTTATATCTGACTAGTAAGTATTAATATCTCTATTTTTTCATGTGTTGTTTTGGATTGCTATTTTTGCCTTAAACAGCAAATTTTAATTTTTTCTAAATCATCTCATTTCCCAATAGATACATAATTCATAGAAATTCAGATTTTTCAGTTTTAGTATATCTCACATTCTGGTCCCTGTCTTTGACACCTGATTTTTCTCTTTTCCTTGTGCCCTCCTTCGCCTTGCCTTTCAGTTTTCCTCTTATTCCTATTTTTCATTCCTTCTTATTCTCCTTCCACCCTATTTGCCTCCAGAAACCTCTTTCTTTAGCTTCCCTTTCTATAAAGCAAAAACAAGCATGGGTTTTCCTATGAAGAAGTAAGTATAGAAAGTGTAGTGTAGAATAAAAAAGTTAGAAAGTATAGTGTAGAATAAAAAAGTTCGGAGTTAAAAAGTACTTTCAAGTCAATATAGTCATAGGTTTTCCAATCCTTACAAATACTGACAATGTTGGAATGTCAGAATGTTAATAAACAAGAGTTCACCTTGTGTCACCTTTTAGCAGAAACTAAATGTAAATATATTAATGAAATAAATACTTGGTTAACTGTAATGATAAATAAAACAAAGCAACTAAACTGCTTTCATTACCTGTTTTCAGACTGTCAACAATAATAATCTGTTAAACATTTGTTCAAAAGGCAATTTATGAGACCTACTAGGACCACTGAAGAATAGAGTATTGTTTCTTGATATAAATGCCAGCTTACTTATGTTTTTTAAAAAACTTCAAAGTCCCCAGACTCTTAAAGAGATCATTCTCAATGTTAGTGATCAATGAGAAAAAAAATCATTTAAACATTCTAATGAACAACTTCAAAATACTTTTAAAACCTTGAGCTTTCAGAATGCCATAATTTGCTTCTCTACATTCCCTAATCATGGCCTCCAGAGAATAAACATGGAGAAGTACATGTTTCACACACTAAAAATAAACTATTTAAAACTATTTTTTATATTTACTTTAAAAACATTCAGTTTATTTTCTATTAGAAACATGTACATATTTAATATATACTATATTCTTTTTAAAAAATTGTGTAACAGAGTGTTTACTGTATTTTCAATTCCTTTCTTTAATTTGAAAAATTATTTGAAATAATTTGAAAAATGTTGGACAGGCCTCGTGGCTCAATCCTGTAGTCCCAGCAACTCAAGAGGCTGGGGCAGGAGAATCCCTTGAACCCAGGAGGTTGAGGCTGTGTTAAGCCATAATCATGCTACTGCTCTTCAGCCTGGGAGGCAGTGAGACCCAACTCAAAAAAAAAACAAAAGTTAAAAGAATTTGAAAAATGTCATAGATATATGATAAGCCAGGTGAATCAGAGACACACAGTGTCGGGTAATTTTAAAAATACTAACCTACCTTGCCAATAAAAGCTACCAGGACCACCAAGAAGTACTCTGTCAGCCTAGATGGAATCAAATAAAAAGATATTTTCTTAAAAACAAGTAGCTTTGGAAACAAATTAATGCAAAAACATAAAAGATATATAGGTATACACTATGTTTATTTATATATGAAAGATATATACACACACATATATCAAAGCAATGTCAAATTTACCTAACTCAGTTTCAGTAGTTTTAATTTTACTTTTTCTAAAATAAAATTTAAATAAAAAGTTACATTCATTTAATATATGAAAATGTAAAAACATTTTTTTTTCTGTGTACCTGGACTGCTTCACTAATTTGGAATGAAGTACTAACGCAAAGTATACGTTATAAATTTTAAAAGGTCATTTCTTAATTTGGTATATTAGATTGGTGACTCTTTAACGCAAATTTGCTTTCTAATAATCATTGAAGATTTTTCTTTCAGAGGAAAACTTTTAGTATCTTGCAGATTTAAACAGGAGTAAAGTTAGAGAACACAATTTTCAGGGCATATAAATATATATATATATTTCACTTTAGCATTTCCTACACATGTAACAAACTGAAAGTATCTAATTCAAGGTATTTTGTGTTTGAACACAATATTTTGGAAATTTCTTCTTGCTAAAGTTAAGAGAAAAATTCTTTCCCTCTAAATGTACATATAATCTTCTCAAGCTTTCAACACTATCCTCCCTTGGCTATGTAAAAGACATTTCTAAATTGCTTAAAAGGACACCCTTTCTCGGAAATGAGTTTAAGAAAATGAACAGTCTATTTAACAATGATTTTCATAGTATGAGATTATGGCTGGAATTAAAGTTGTATAGTCATAGGTTCAGAAAACATGGACACTTTAAAAAGCACCTACTTAGAAATTCATCATGCAAATTTAAACCTAATACTTATTAATGTACTTTATCCTTCTTTGACTTCTTTAACTTTGGAATTACAAGTAATGTCATATAAAATTGAGTATATTAAAATCAATTACATACTAAGGAGAGTTAACTATAATTATCAATACCTAGTCTAGAAAAAACAAAATAAAAATGAAGATAGAATACAAATTTTTAAAAATATGAAAACATTTTATTAGTTCTTCTACATCACATGATTTTCAGTTGTTTTTATAAATTGTAGGCACTCCTCTTTGCTCACATTTCTAAAGAAGTAATCTTTCTAAGGAAGTTCTAATTTTAAGCAAACAATATATTTTTGAGACTTTTCTAGAAGGAATCGATCATCTCACTTTGATATTCAAAATGCTCACATACCATACCCAAAATAAATATAAACACACAAAAGAAAAGTATATAAAGAAAAGTACTAAAGAAAATTTACCTTTCCAAATATAAATGAAATTCTTATTTAAAAAAAAAAAAACAGACAAAAACAATCAACTCTGAAGAGCATATCAATATAGTTAAAAATGCAGAGCCCGCATTTGGGATTTCTTACAATTATTAAATCGCTTCAGCTTCACTTGTGCCCATAAGCACGTAAAGATGGTGGACACTAACATGTCTCAGCTTTTACGTAACTAAAATCTAATGTAATAAAGCTCCCATCAATAGCACTTGTGAAAAATGAATTTCAGCTGAAAATAGAACATTGTAATAGTCTATAAATTCATACAACTGGAAATTTTACTATGAAATTATAATAGTTACTTATTATACTATACTATTATACTATAATAGTTACTGAGGAGATTCTCTACTTTCCTCCATCCCCAGTGTGATGTCTCCCTATTTCAAATAAGCAATGTTTACTAGGGGGGGAATAATATAAGACAAAGAATGTTTAAATGAATGGGTTGTTTTATTAGCTATTTTCATTAAACAGGAAAAAGCCTAAAAGAAGCTGAAGTATTGATCAGTTTATTTTTAACCATAGTTTAGCAGATCTGAATCTCATTCAGTCTTAAATGAGAACTTACTTTAGTAAAATCAATGCTGAATCCTCCTTGACAAAATCCCTGTCCATCAGCATCAATATTTTCTAAAATAAAAAGATTGGAAATATACACAAACCCAAAAGCAAACAAAGAACACAAAACAAAACATGAAAAAAATCTGATATCATGATAATCATAAGATAATGTACTAGTTTCTGGGAGTGTTGTTCACTCAGGTACTTAGTTATTATCACATTCTAAAAAAGCAAGTATGTACATTATCAGCACATTTCCTCAGAGATGGAAGCCATATTAGGTACCTGGACCAGTCACCAAAGAACAGAAAGATCAATTAAAATGGTAGATTTCAAACCTTTTTTTTTTTTTAACCACAACCTACAAGATTACAGTTTATATACATTCACAACCCAACATACATTGTGTGTGTGTAAAACATACAATGTATGTAAACAAAATTTTACAAAACAATAATTTTACTATTATATACAATATACTCTGATAGTTTCTATTTTATTTCATTTTATTAAAAAAAAAACTGGTTGTGATCCACTATACTGATTTCAGAAAACACCAATGAGTTGTGACCTGCAAGTTAAAAATTCCAATTGAAATACCACTTTCTCCCTATTACCTTAAGGTTGCTAAGTCTTCCTAAGACCTTTGTTACTATGAATAACATTCATAATACATACATATCCTATACATACATTTTATAGTCAACAACAAAAATGAAAAACTACAAACAACGTAGTTTAGGATTTTAGGAAATAGCAAGGCCAGAACACAATGTTCTCTGAAGAGTAAAACTATCCTCACAACACACTAGTAGTGGGGTCTAATTAAAGAAAACATCTTTAAACATGACACTTTCAAGTATTTCCCAACCACAGTAGACTCAATAGTTTTGCTCTTTTGTAGTTACCCCTTTTTTGGAGTTCTCACAAGTCTGAACAATTATCCAATTAATTTAATTGAACTTCACTCATGAGCAATACTGTACCTAGAATAGAGGAAAGGAGGAGTCTGAACATCCCCCTTGTTTTATTTTGAGGATAGAAAGGAATAGTAGAAACACTACCCCTCAGTTATCAAACAATTCTTGTAGCCACTGATACAAATATATAAAAAGTTATACTATGACTCTAATTAATACCCAAATACAGGAACCAAAAATTTCTATTTTTAGTCATAAGAACAAACTTTCAAGAATTTTGTCAAATAATCCAATAAAAAATGTTGAACTTACTTTTAAAACCTGGAAAACACCCCAAGATTACACACAACTCAATTTAAAATTTTTCATTTTTTTTAGAAAAAGCTTCAAGAGGGTAATGCCACACCAATGTGGGAGTGGGAAAAAGTGGAGCTGGGGATTCTGGTATCTAGTGAATCATACAAAAGAATTCTGCTCTAACCTCAAGTCAGCCATTTATTTCCTTTATTCAAGTTGTATCTGAGTAACTATTTCAGGCTATTTATAAAGACATCTTTTTTTTATTGCCACACTGTACAATTATCTGCTTATTTTAGTTTCCCAGAACATTGAGCTAAAATACTTGATTATCCCCTAAAATTTTCCAAACAGGTACATATTAAACTGAGTGTCTCTGCCAGTTGAAAGATTTTCACGTTAAATATTACCTATTTCAGTGAAGACTTGGGTACTTATTTCTACAGATGATTAATACATCTCCTATTTGTTAACTCTGACAGTGGTATTACAAATAATAATCTAATTAATTCTGACAGTAAGATCGGCTAATGCTTATTGTGCTCTTAGTGTGAGCCAGGTACTGTGCTAAAGCATTTAACATGGCATTATCTCTTAAAATTTTGACAGCAATCTTATGAAAGATACTATTATTATTCACAATTAGCACAGATGAGGAAACAGATATTTTAAGGAAATTAAGTAAATTGACCATGGCCAACCAGCTAGGAAATAAGAGGATATGAACCTAAACTCAGGTATGTCTATATCATTACACTGCAGTATCTCAAATCAACAATGGAAATACAATTCCCAACAATGTATATTTAATGAAAAGGGGGAAGAAAAAGCCAAATAGAAATTACAACTAAGAAAATCTATGTTCAAATAACATTATCAGAAAGCAGAGAGAAGTAACAACAGTTGGTCTGAGCATGGAGCTGAAAGACCATTTATGTCATATGATTTGTGGCTCAGGCACTTTTAAAACAGAACAGCTGGCCTACTGCATAATACCAAGAGTGGTCATAGTTGCAGTTACGAAAGGCCAAAAGTAAATGTAATCAGTAATAAGGTAAGTTGGTGACAGACAGTGAAGTACCTTGTCCTGGGTGTCCATAGAGATCATGTTAAACACAAATCCAAACAAACAAACCAAAAACACACACAAAAAGACAAAAAACACCTATAACCTCCTCTCACAAACTACCACTATCAAGGTAAGCAAACTTAGCAGTGTAGCTCTACAAAACTGGCATTACCATGCAAAATCAATTATTGGTTTGCATAATTTACTGAAGTATTAAAAAATACAAAATACTAAATTTGTATCTCAGGTTTTTTGTGTGAATTAGCGTTTCACCAATAAAGAAACAAAAGCCCAAGAGTGGTTAAGTGAATTTACCACCACTATAAGTAGACTGTCATCAGGATATGAGAATATATCAGGTTCTCAGACTCCACTTCTGAGTTTTCTTCTCCTTGTAATTTGAGCCTATGGGTAGCTTAATACTTCCAAGGTTGAATCAAAAAGCATGTACAATAATCAAGGGCTGCTGAAAGCCACGTCTATCAGGGAGAAAGGCAAGCACTTTGTTTTTTTGTCTTTTTGAGGTAGCTCTTTGAGCTTTCCATAAAAAACTTATTTAGATCAGAATTCAGCAAATTTTTTATGTAGAGGGCCAAAGTAAATATTTTAAGCTTACTGTGGACAGCCCACATAGTGTGGAAACTATTCAACTCTCACAACTCAACTTTCTCATTATAGGTAACATATAAGCGAATGAATGTGCCAGTATTCCAATAAAACTTTATTTACAAAAACAGGTCCTCAAGCTACAGTTTACTGACCTGACTTGGACATTAAATACCTTAGAAAATATGGCCTAAAATGACTTTGTAATTTCTGTGCCTGAACCAAATAAATAAAAGCAATATGTGACATATACACAAAGGATCATCATTAGGATGCACGTTTTCTAGGGATTTCCACGTACTCTTACACATCAGGGATTATCTAAACCTATATTCATAAAAGCAAGATATATTATTTGTAGAAAAGCTATGCTAATACAGAAGCAGATGAAATGGAAAGCATTTTCTACTGTTAGTAATGCAGGGAAAAGTTGTCTTTGGAATAGACAGACCTGTGTTCAAATTCTCATTTGACCATTTGGTACCATAAGATGAAGCAAACAAAGTGCTTCAACTGTATGACTCTCAGTTCCCACATCTTTCAAATGAGAATAAGAGTGATATTATGTGTGTGTGTGTGTGTGCTTTGTAAAACCAAGTTACAAGCCAGGCACACAAGGGTTAGCTCATTCTTCATAGCTATAAAATTATCTTCTCACAATAGAAACATTTTTGCAATATACAAATTTAGCCCTCAGACTTTCTACACACCACCAAACATGACAGTACCATGACCAAAATGACAACATAAAGGTGGTTCTAAACATGGCTCTACAAAGCACTGAGGATAAAGCTGCCAACTTTCCCCATCCTGTACAGAGTACACTTTCTGACCTAATTTGTACTCTCTACTAATACACAATACGGATCTGAGTAGGTACCACTCCCCATTCACAAAAGGTAAGATCAAGATGGTGAGCTAAGAAAGTGTTTAATGAAATAATTTGCAGTTTCCCACAGGTTCAATTACTTAGAATGTTGAGGACAGAGTAGCTCTTGACCTGGTGACACAAATCTCCTAACATGGAAGAAGAAAAAAAAGTAGCAGTAAAAGACTTACATGCTGTTCTGTTATTACTAATTCTCTTTACTAAACTATTTGGTGACTAGTAGAATATAAAAAAGTAATGCCCTAAAAAGTACTCCGGATATAAACACTATAATGTATTTCAATAATCTATTTTTATGCTTTTGGTATAAAGAGGATCTGGAGTAGCAGTCAGTTCAACAAAGGATGGGAGGGCCCAAAGGATTGGGATCTCCAAGGTTGAAAGGATGCATAGAGTTTGGAAAAACATAATCAAAATTAGAAATGCTTTAAAAAAAAAAAAGTCAAAATTTTAAGTATTCAAATTATCTTTAGCCATAATATGAATTTCTTTTGAAATTTCAAACAATATTAGAAAAGAGTATGAAATCTTCTGAATCACCAAAATAAAAGTGGGCTTGGTATCAGATTAACAATTAACAAAAAAGCTTGATTAAGAACAGGGAAATCCAGACTCAAGACTCCTGAGTTCAGTGTTCAGCTTCCTATGTAAACTACGGCTCTGTAAGACATGACTTTTATTTTCAACATCATTATTAATCTATTTGGTATCCATCAGAATTATCTTGCAGAGCTCGCTAAGAATGCAGGTACCCAGGTATGACCTAGACTTGCTACATCGGCATCTTTAGCTATGGGGGTTCACACCTTCTGTTAGAGAAGCTCAACTGAGCAACTTCTGATTAACAGCAATTAAAATACAGATTTCCCAAATCAGATTTTAATTAGTACTAATGAAGGAAGATAAAAATGAGTTCTTAGGTAGCCTGTTTATGTCACGTTTATAATTTCTTTACATTAGTAGTATTTTCATTTTGCTCTCAACATCAACATGAACATATGTCTACAAGTTTTATCCCATACACAATTTTTTAACAAACTAGGCTTCCCGCCCCTAGCTGGGACAACTTCCTGTACATACTTGATCTGCATGGAGCATACTCAACAGTCTTTGTTCCATCTTGAAGAAAGCATGTTCCAACAGGTTCTCTCTCCTGTTTCATCTCAGTCCTCCAGTGGTACAATGGGGCACAGGCCTAAAATCAAAGGTTTAATACATGACATAAAAATTCTTTGAAAAATTCGTGTTTCCAACAATCTATACTACCTCAGAATATAGCATCAATTTTAAGTATTAATAAAAATCAGTCAAACCTATCCTTTAAATTCCTTATCACAGTGGTGGGTAAAGATTTTAAAATAAATATTTTTCTCACATTCACTTGAAGACTACATTTATAGTTCATACATACTTTTTCAAATTAGTTAGCAAAATTATTATTCCAGGCAGTTTATTGCTTGGTATTTATATGCTCAGCTGAAGATCTCAGACTGAATCAAATTTTGAACTAAATAACACGCTCATGCATGTAGGATATAACCCTAAATTATACAGCAAATAATTTATTAATAAGAGAGTAAGGACATCAAACAGTCAAAGTAATCCTCAGTAAAAAGAACAAACATGGAAGAATAACAGTACTGGACCTCAAAATATTCTATAAAGCTGTAGTAACCAAAACAGGATGATACTGGCATATAAACAGGCACGTAGACCAATAAAACAGAATAGAGAACCCAGAAATAAATCCACATATCTAAAGCCAACTGACAAAAGTGCCAAAAACACTCATTGAAAAAAAAACGATGGTCTCTTCAATAAATGGTGCTGAGAAAACTGGATATCCATATGCAGAAAATTGATACTAGACCCCCACCTCTTACTCTACAAATATCAACTCAAAATGGATTATAGGCCTAAATCTAAGACCCACAACTATAAAACTACTAGAAAAAAAACACAGAGAAAATGTTCCAGAACACTGATCTTGCAAAAAAAAAAAAAAATACTGTATGAATAAGACCTCAAAAGCACAGGCAACAAAAGCAAAAAAACAAAAAACAAAGAGGGGAGTATATCAAACTAAAAAGCTTTTGCACAGCAAATAAACTAATCAACAGAGTGAAAACAACCTACATAATGGGAGAAAATATTTGCAAAACTATTTAACTGACAAGGGATTAATAATCAGAATATACAAGGAACTCAAACATTTCTATAGCAAAAAACCAAACAACCCAGCATCACTAATCATCAGGGAAATGCGAATCAAAACCTAGTTAGGATGGATATTATCAAAAGGCCAAAAAGGAATAGATGGTGAGGATGCAGAGGAAAGGGAACTCTTATACAGTACTGGTGAGAATGTAAATACACAGTCACTATGAAAAACAGTAGGAAGATTCCTCAGAAAACTACAAATAGAACTACCATATGATCCAGCAATCCCACTATGAGAAATTTATCTAAAGGAAGGAAACCAATCTATCAAAAAGACATCTGTATCCATGTGTTTATTGCAGCACTATTCACAACAGCCAAGATGTGAAATTAACCTAGATGGTCAACAACAGATGAATGGATAAAGAAAATGTGGTTTATATATGCTGTGGAATACTATTCATCTATAAAAAAATAATAAAATCTGTCATTTTGGCAACATGGATAAAAATAGAGTACATTATGTTAAATGAAATAAGCCAAGAGCAGAAAGTTAAACAATGCATGTTCTCACTCATATATGGAAGCAGGAAAAAACTGATCTCACAGAAATAAAAAGTAGAACAGGCTGGGAAGGGTAGCGGGAAGGTTGGGATAGGGAAAGATTTGGTTTTTGTTTGTTTGTTTGTTTGTTTGTTTTTTGAGTTGGAGTCTCACTCTGTCGCCCAGCTGGAGTGCAGTGGCCGCTCCCGGCCACCGCAGCCTCGACCTGCTGGGCTCCAGAGATCCTCCCACCTCAGCCTTCCAATTAGCCGGAACTACAGGCACGCGCTACCACGCCCGGCTGATTTTTGATTTATTGTAGAGACGAGGTCTTGCCAAGTTGCCCAGGCAGGTCTCGAACCCACAGCCTCATGTGAAAGATTTGTTAAAGGATACAAAATTACAACTAAATAGAAGAAATTGGTAGCGTGCACCTGTAATTCCAGCTACTCGGAGGCTGAGGCGGAAGGATTGCCGGAGTCCAGCAGGTGGAGGCTGCAGTGGCCAGGAGCGGCCACTGCACTCCAGTCTGGGTGACAGAGTGAGAGTCCAACTCAAAAAAAAAAAAAGAAAAAGAAATAACTTACAGCATTCTATAGCACTGTAGGATGAATATATTTAACAGTAATATATCATTTCATATAGCTAGACGGACGATACTGAATGCTCCCAAAACAAAGAAATGATAAATGTTTGATGTGATAGAAATGCTAATTGCCCTGATCTGATTGCTATACATTTTATGCATTAAAACATCACTATGTGCCCCACGAAAATATACAATTATTAATATTATTTTTGTAAACGTGAGGTCTCACTGGGCTGCTAAGGTTGATCTTCAGCTTCTAGCCTCAAGTGATCATCCTGCCTTTGCCTCCAAGTATCTGAAATTACAGGTGTGAGCTACCACACCTGGCTCCTTAATTCTTGGGGGGGGTGGGAGGGCACACCTCATCAACAAGGGTACCTGCATAATGACCATCTGTATACCTAACCCTGAATTGTATCCCACATCTTCAAAATAAAAAATTAAAATAAAAAAAAGAAACTTCCCAAAGTCCCCCCATCCCCTCCCCCAAAAAAGAAAGAAAGAAAAGACATCTAGATTGTGGAAAGAAAAAGAAGAGAGTTTAAAACTTGCAATGCTAATTTTTTTACTTTCCAAATAAACTGACTTTTTTGTTTTTAATGTACTGGAAATACAGTGCAATGGATTTTCTATAATACTTTTTGAAGTACAATGCTAACATAAGCACTGCAGACATCATCAACACAGGGCTAGTGAAGAAAGTGAAGGTAGGTAATTGTTATTACCTCTCTACACATACTTGATGCTCCAGAGTGGACGATCTGCTCCTTCTGCTGACCTCAGCTTCTTTGCACCCCTTTCTACCTAGAATGCCTCCACTCTTAACATCCTTCACTTCCAACTGCTAAAATGTAGCATATCCTTTAAACTCCTGCTGAAACCACCACCTAAATAAATCCTTTCTTAATGCCTCATAATCAGGAATAAAAATAAAAGTAATAATAAAAACTATGTAAGTAATTAAATAAGGAAAAGCTATCTGACAAACTGAAATAAAAGCTGAAATCTGAATGACAAGATGCTAGCCAAGTCATCAACAAGACTATTAACAAAAACAGAGGGAACATAAGTACTACGTTACTAACTGAAATGACATGGCATGTGAAAAAGATAAAAAGACCAGCGTGGTTAAAGTGTGAGATGACACCAAAGAGACAGCTAGTGACCTGGCTCTGGAGATGCTGATTAGCCAGGATGAGCTTGCAATATTTATTCAGAGAGTGATAGAAAGCCACTTGACCATAGTAATTAAGAAGCTGAAATGTCCCAGTAGTCTGCTAGTCCTTCTGTGGAGAAGAGATCATTGTTGGGGCAAGAGAGGAAGCAGAGAGGTGAGAAGAGCCATTGCACTGTTTCAGGTGAGAAATAATGGTGGTTTGTTGCCAGGTAGAAATAGTGGAGATGGGGATCTATTGATAATGTAGGATATATTTTAAAGGCAGAATTGACAGGGCTCACTGGTAAATAGCGTGGAGAGCCACACCTCCTAATAAGCTGAGGAAGATTTGTATAATAGTTTTTTGTTGTTGTTTTTACTTTTTGATGGAGAGTGATAACAGTCTTATTTTGATCATGTTCATTTTGAGTCATCTATTAGGTATTCATAGGGAAATGCCAAATAGGTAGTTTGGAAATAGGCCTTTGAAGATTCAGGGAGAATTAAGAGCTAGCGATATTCCTCAACTTGACTGGATAGAAATAAACTGATGGCAACTATCAAGAGGGGCAGGAAAAATGAACAATGAAGGAATTAAGGTGGAAAGAAGCAGAAGCCTGGTCTAGAAGGACCATAGGGATAGCATCCTCAGATGAGTAGCCTTTGATCAGCATTATCTTATTTCATTAAACCCTGTACCCTTGTGCATACTGAGTTTTACTATGAGCTTGAAAACATAAAACCTCTTGTGTCTTCATGCAAATTGACTAAACTCATCTGTGAGTGAATATTCAAAAGACTTACCAAAATTTTATCCTGTTTAGATCTCACAGATGCTCCAAACCACTGGTGGGACTTAAACTCCAATGGATCATCCTTGTCATAATCTCTATTGCCTAAAAAAGAATAATTATGAGGAGTAAGGAACAAAATACACTATTCTTAGCATAACAGAGTTTATTTCTAAATAGCCAGGTGGAGGAATAGAGCACCTTTGATTAATCAAATACTGTACAGGTCATTTATCTCATACACTTCATACACATTAGGGACTTTCAACTAATCAGAGAAATATAACACATGAGGACTTAGAAGTATCTCCATGACATTATTAACTCCATCAATTATCATAATGCAGACATGAAAAAGGAATTGTAAATGAAGTTTTCCAGTTGCTAAATTGCTAGATAATTAACTATTAAACAAATACTTACAACAACCTACCATATTCTCAGAGGTTCTTTCTGTGGCATAAAAATATTTATGAAAATTAAAGGCTATGAAACACTTTCTTGTAATGATGACGATAAAATAAAAGACTAAGATGTGTGCCAATGACATTATAATATGAGAATTAGAATCCAGGAGACATGATCTGGCTGGTAGAAAAAAGAATTCAACCTGGCACCCTATATTCAAACATTTATTTTTATTATTTCAGTCCCTGATATTGGGAAATAATTCCTGTACTCTAAAGCTTCAGTGTCAAAAACAAAATGATGCAGTGGGACAGCTTCAACATCACAATATTCTTGCCAACACAAGTATTTCCTCCTACAAGACACTTGAGATAGATCATTCCAAAATGTCAATATCATGAAAGATAAAGAGTAGGAAACTTTTCTAAATTAAAAGACACCAATGAGACATAGCAACTAAATACAAGATGTGATCCTTCATTGAATCTTGTATCTTAAAATTTTTTTTAAGTTACAATGGACTTTATTAGAATAATTGTGGAAATTTTAATTATGAACTGTAGATACTAATAATAATGTGTGCATTATTACTGAATTACATTGTTACTACTAATAATATTATGGTATTTATAACAATGATGCCTTTCTATGTGTGATGATCATATTATGGTTATGTGAGAAAATGTTTTTAGGAGATATTGCCGAGGTATTTAAGGGTATAGTGTCACAATGTCTTCAGCAATGGGTGAAGTTAGGGGAATTGTGTATTGTTCACTGTATTACTGTTTCAAATTTTCTATAAGTAAAAATTTTCAAATTTTTAATGTCTATCCTAAAGACATATCACATTTATCACATATAAATATATACATATATTTTCTTATATGAAATAGATATTTAAAACCAATATATAAGATAGCATTAAAATTATTATATATAAACATGTATACCTTTTCTTCCACAACAATATGTCAATAAAAGAAGAACTGTAGTATCAATTTTATTGTTGTGTAGTACCCCATTACATAGCTAGACAGTGGTTTATTTAGCCAATCCCTATATCTCTTTCAGTTTCAGATTCAGAAATTTTTTTTTATTCAAATCTGCATAGTCCCTCAAAGACAAATCTACTTTCTCCTCTAATATACATAAGAATCTCAGTAAAGTATATTATTAGCCTAAGACACAGGTTCCTTGCTAAATTAAGGTAATAGTACTCTAGATCTAATGGATAAATTTCTATCAAGGTTTCAAGATATATTTATTTTTTATATATGAAATCCCTTATCTTTAGTCCCCAGTCTCTGAAACAAGTCATGTTCATTCCCATCCACAGGCCTTCATACACAAGGCCCTCTTACCTGGTAAACTTTACTTTTTCCATACTGGATTCAAATTCTACCTGAAATCTTAGTTGTAGTTGTTCAGTCATGACCCTAATTCATGATAAAATGACTGTCTGCCTCTTAAGGAAATATCTGTCTAACACAGATGTTTTCTTAAATGTAGAATTATGGAAATAAGCAATTATGGTGGAGGAATGTGTAAAGAGTTATGGGGAAAAGTTATGGCTCAAAGTGGAAGTGAAAGAATTCTTTCTGAGCCAAGAGAAAATATTGTGCAAAAAAAAGTAAGAATGAGGCCAGGCATGGAGGCTCACACCTGTAATCTGAGCACTTTGGGAGGGCCAAGTGGCAGGATCAGTTGAGGCCAGGAGTTTGAACCAGCTTAGGCAACACAGCAAAACCTTCTCTCTACAAAAAAATAAAAAAATTAGCCAGGTGCGGTGTTGCATGTCTATAGTCCCCACTACTCGGGAGGCTAAGGTAGAAGGCTCACCTCAGCCCAGGAGGTCGAGGCTGCAGTGAGCAGTGATCATGCCACTGCACTCCAGCCTGGGCAACAGTGAGACCCTGACTCAAAAAAAACAAAACAAACAAAAAGAGTAACAGTGGATAATCTTGGATGCCTTAGAGAATTGTGAGTTGTTCACAGTGACTAGAGAGAATGGTAGAGAGGGGACTGGTTGCCAAGAGCCTATATGCCATGCTAATAATGAACTTCATGGAATTTTTTAGTTGTCCTCTATGCTAAGCATTCTTTCTTCAATTATTCTATTCCTAAAAAAGTTGAAGAGAAGTTTCTCCTTTGTAAAATGTTATCCAATTCTCTTCCTACCGCCTTGAAAAAGTGTTTTTCTTAACAAATGTATTTTTCTCTAAATGTGTAAATGGCGGCACAAGACACTGCTATGCACTGTCAAGTAGCATATGCTTGTCATTGCTACTGTGTTCTATCTCCCATTTTAAAAAAGATATTGAAAACATTCCCTGCCATAACGATTATGGAAATCTGTCTTTTTATCTGAGTTGGAGCCTCACTCTGTCGCCCAGGCTGGAGTGCAGTGGCACGCTCACGGCCACCCCAGCGTCGACCTGCTGAGCTCTGGTGATCCATCCACCTCAGCCTTCCAAGTAGCTGGAACTAGAGGTGTGTGCTACCACACCTGGCTAATTTTTTATTTATTGTAAAGACAAAGTCTCGCCAAGCTGCTCAGGCTGGTCTCGAACCTGTGGGCTCAGGCAATCCACTTGCCTTGCCCTCCCAAAGTGTCGCGATTACAGCCTGAGCCACCGAGCTCAGCCGGATATCTGTCTTTACAAATGTGAAGCTTAGCTTAAGCTAGAAAAGTACAATTTTGCATGTTTTTTTAATTTTTATATTCATCATCAAGTATTATAAAACACAAGAATACAGTCCTCTCCATGTGGAAAACTATTTAGCGATGATGGTATTTAACAAGAATGAAGGAGCACCGGTCAAATATCAAAAAGTATCAGACAACTTGGCTTTTTCTGACAAAAAAAAGTAAACTTGAAAAACTAATTTGAAAACCAACTTTGGAGATTTCCTAAAATTTAGATATACTAAAAAACAACAGCCATGCATTAAAGCACCACGTGATTCACTATGTTTTCAATTACATTACCAAACAGAAGAAGTCAATCATAAAGCATGACATACATTGGCAACCAAAACTTGGTCAACAGTCTTAAAAAAAACCAAAACTGTCCACTGCTTTCGATGCCTTCAGCTTCAACAGAATTATAACCTCAATTACAATCTTTTCAAGAATTTTGCTCAATAGGGAGTTTTCCTTCAGTAATCAATTTTTTTTCAGAAACCGGGTTTTTTTTTTTTTTTTTTAGTTGGAGTCTCACTCTGTCGCCCAGACTGGAGTGCAGTGGCCATTCCCGGCCACTGCAGCCTCGACCTGCTGGGGCTCTGGCGATCGTTCCGCCTCAGCCTTCCAAGTAGCTGGAACTACAGGCGCGCACTACCACGCCCAGATCATTTTTTGATTTATTGTAGAGATGAGGTCTAGCCAAGTTGCCCAGGCAGGTCTCGAACCCGCGGGCTCAGGCAATCCACTCACCTCAGCCTCCCAAGGCATGGGATTACAGGTTGAGCCACCAAGCCTGGCTAGAAACCAAGTCTTAAAACACTCGATTCAACATCATGTAGAAGTTCCATTCAGAGGACGTGTGATAGATTGAGTGTGGAAAAAGGAAAGGAAAGCTTGCTTGTTCTGGGGCACACAAGTAGAGTAAATATTTTGAGTCACAATCCTGGAGTCACTATTTCAAGGGATGCTCGACCTCCACAGACTGTGTAGACTATGCTGACACCCTTGAAAAGGAAACAGGACATAGGCAACTGCACACATTCCAGTACTGGGAGAAATGCGGCCGCAGGCAACAGCCCAAAATACAAAGATGTCTGTCCAGAATCACAAAACACATTGGAAGATTAGCTCTGATTACCCAAATAAATGAAAGGGGAAAAGTATCTCGCAGAGTAGTATCTGTATCTCACATGGTAATATACCGTATCTCACACAGTAATACAAATAAGAATAAATTGTTCTGTATTACACAAATTAACATAAGACTCTATACTATAGCTTTCAAAAATAGAGGAAAATTTTGCTAGGGAAACCCGAAGTTAATAGCAAGTAAATCACTAGAAACTTGAAATCTTAACATCTACTTTACAGGGTTTTGAAATTTGTCATTTGCATTTTATCGGACTCCCATGATTAAATGCTCGAGGACAGAAGCAAGTGAGAAGGGTAGATTGTCTTAGCTTTAAACTTTGTACCTTATTAGTAGCCTACTCTTTTTCTCCGTGTTTCAAAAGGCATTGTCAAACATTCCACATTCAGCTTGCTGGAGAATTACGGGCAATGCTTATTTTTAAGACAAAGTTAGCTTATCATCCTAAGCAAAATTTTTTGTTTCTTCTTTTCATGACCAAAAAAAAAATCCTTTGAAACAAGATTATGTCACCTTCAAAGCATTAGAAAAGCAAGACAGTAAATTTTTATTCGGAAGTTAAATGTGGTTTTAGTAATTTGAATCCCATTCATCAATTTGACTTGTATGAATAAAAAAATGATTTTATGTCCTCAGAGAACTTGCTTTTGCTAAAAGAAGAAAAAGAGGGAGGAGGGGAGGGGAAGAGATGAGGGGGAGGGAGGAGGGAAGGAGGGGGAGAGGGAGGAGGAAAGAAAGAAAGAAAAAACAAAAGGCTATTAAAACAATGCCACTCCACATTCATCCTTTAATAAAACAGATAATTTGTAGACTTCCTTAAGCAGCTTTTTACCTCAAACACCACTTCTGCTCAGTAGCATT